CGGCGGCGGCTGCTGCGGCTGCTGCTGTTGCTGGTTACTCGGAGGCCTCTCCACCACACAACTCTGAGGTGACTTGATGCTGCAGTTGGCCGCGGCGGCGGGCTGCACGCCGTTCTGCGGCATCATGCTGCAGCTGTTGCCCATGCTGGCCATTTGCTGAGTGACAACACAGCTGTTCTGGGTGAGGCTGCTGGAGGATGACAGGCCGCCGTAGGAGCAGCTGCTCTGCGAAGAGCTATTCCCACAGATGCTGCCGCCCATTGTAGAATCGTAACTGCTGGGGTTCTCGTAGTTCTCTGTGGTGCTCTCAATGCTGCCCAGGTCACTGAAGCCACTGTCCACCACCTGCTGAGAGTGGTCTGATACGGAAGGCACATCCATCATGGGGCTGGTCTCCATGTTCTGCATAGAGGGTGCGGACAGGGATCCTTGCTCCGGGCTGATCTGGGTGTAACCACTTTCGAGGGCAGGCACGGTGGGACTACTGACTGAACGGACCGACTGGCTGGGATGAGACTGAACAGAAGATATTGGACTATTATGTTCCGAGGCATGGCAGTCTTCAACCATTGACATCTGAGGGTCTTCATCAGCCTGGGTGTAACTCTGCAGGGTCTGACACGCTGCCAGAGTTTCTTCACAGTCCTGGTAGGCTCCCTCGTGCTCGTTACTTTCCTCTTGAGTCAAAGACTGCACTGCTTGCACGGTTTCCAGATCCAGTTCGCTATGAGGAATCTCTTCTTCCTCTTTCAGCTCAATTAATTCTTCCTTAGAGTTTGAATCTTCTTCATGATCATCCTCAGACCCTGGCATATGCTCTGATACCATGGACGTTTCATGGGAAGTCTGTTCCTCTTCAGAATCTGGTTCCGTTTCATCTTTATCCTTTATAGTCTCCCTACTGCCCTGCATATTAGTATCTAAAAAAGACTCCTGACCACCGGGCTCCTCTTTGACATCTTCTCGAACGAGCTGCTCCTCTAGCTCTTTTCTCTTGGTAGATTCCAGATGACCATCATCTTCATCATCTGCATCATGGTCTTCATTCTGGTTTGTCTCTGTAGCCACTTCCTCCTCTTCCTCTTGCTCCTGTTCTTCTAGTTCTTGTTGCTCCTCTTCCGACTGCCTCTGCTCTTCTAAGACACGGGGCTTCTCCTCCTCCTCTTCTATCTCAGGTTCTTTCGTTTCTGTCTCGGGACTGTTGCTATCCACTGGAGATGCTGCTCTAACTTCACTGCCGGTGGTGTCTTCTTCTTCTCCCTCTTCAACCTCTTCTGCTTCCACGTGCGTCTCCTCCTCTTCCTTCCTTTCTTCAGTTAAAGGCGAGTCTTCTTTTGGTTCGACAGTTTCTTCGTTCTCCTGAAGTCTGGCTTTACGGCCCACTTTAGGAATGGGGACAATGGGCTCAACAATGCATTCTTGAGTAGAAACGGGTATGATTTCCCGATTCAACTTAAATCCTGGTTTGCGACCAGGCCTCTTCTTCCAGTGGATTGGTTTGCGGCTTTTGCCTTTGGGCCATCCCTTCTTCTTTTTCATAGGTGTGGATGTATCTGGCTCAAGTTGAGAATCCTTCACATCACATTTTCTCAAGAGAGATACTGGCTTTAGGACAGGAGTGTCTATACAGGAGGGATAAAAACAAAACAAAACAACACATTAAAAAAAAGTTACAAGATATTCTATTTGTACCAGTGCCGTTTTCTGAGACCATATGTGCAACAGAAATAGTTTTATTAATCATCACAAACTCTTCTGATTACCTTCCCTTTCAAGTTAAGAATCTAAAGGAGAGACCTAATAATGACCTCTTCTAAAGTCACGCAGTGAGCTGGCAGAACAAGGAAAGAATCCTGGCCAACACTCTGCTGCCCCCCACTACTTAAAACCAGTTCAGGTTTATCATCACCAACCACACGGCTTTAGGAAGTTAGTCTACAGGTCAGTTTTCTCCTCTAGGAAATGGAGCTAAGCTGTGTAATGATGCAAATGCTCAGCAGTGATTACAAGTACTTCAGACAAGCGGTCTTTACCGTGTAAGTCACAAATCAGCTAATTTCTTCTTTTTTCTTTTTTTTTCCTGTTTGCAATTTATATTCTCTCTCTGGTTTTCTTGGTTTCCATAAAAATCATTACTTCAGGTAATATCATGAGTTAATTACCCCAGGCCATGACTGAGCAATCCTACATGAATAACTGCTCAATCGATGTTGTGTTTGTATGGGAAAAGCCGCAAGGCATTTAGTCCTAGACAAATACTGACCTGAAGAAAAAGTGAAAGCACCAATGACAATGATTAGAAATAAATTTGACATTGGCATTATTTTCTCCCCATTACTTTTTTCTATTTTTAAAGATTGTAGTAAACTATGCATAGCAGAAAATGTACCATTTCAACCATGTTTAGGTGTCCAGTGTGGTGCAGCATTAAGTACACATTCATATTTCCCATTAATTTTTTTTCATTTAATCCCATTAATTTTTAAAGGGAAGAACGCCAAGGCAAGAACAGGATTTTGAGGGGGAAGCTAAAAAGGCACAACTGGCAATAATAACGTGAAAATAAAGAAAGAAAGGAAATGGCCACATCAGAGAAAATCTGTCCTAGTCAACAAGAATTTAAACAAGGGATATTATTTTAATCTACAAGGATCCCAGAGAGAATTCTACCGAAGGGCCAAATTTACACAATAAATCTTTGGTTTCCTAGTTATATACCTCAAAGCGTAACACAATAAAACTGCAGAAAATCATTCACAGCAAAGCACTCAAGTCACCTAGTCACTAAAATATTTCTTATATAAAAATATCAGAATGGAGGAAATGCAAGTTTCTACTACATATGAAATTGAGCAAATTTATTTTTTAAAGAATAAAAAGCTCAATTAATAAATAAATGCTATAATTCCACCAAGAGTGGACAACTGCACTCCCCCAATTTCACCCAGCAAAGTAAAAAAAAAAAAAAAAAAAGCTCAGTTTGACCACCGCCCCCCCGCCCCCCTTTTAGGCAAATACTGCAGACGCAGGCAGCATAATGCACCGGCAGAAACTTTAGGGTAGGATGTAAATGACCTGGTCTGTGACCCAGCACATATAGGAGCCCCCGTTTCTTTATTTCTAAACGATAAGGCTATTTTAAAAGTAAATCACTGGATTTTGCACTATGCCATAAAATTTAACCTACCCTGAGGCACTGTTACCATTTTTATTAGAAATTTACTACTCACAGAGAAAGGCGTATTAGAGATATGATTCAGAAGGATTCCTGAACAGATGTGAAGCAAGTCCAATTTACATGCATCTGATCTTATTTAAGAACCATCCTCCTAGCATGTATCCATTTAGCAATATTTACCAAGTGCCTATTTTAGGCACTGAGCATACAACAATTAGCAAAACGGGTAGGTCCACAGAGTGTACTTTCTAGTAAAGGGTTATTACTTCAATGTCTTCCTGATGCTAAGTCCAATTCACCCATTAACTAAAGATTCCGATTATGGCTGAGAAAGGATTAGGCAAAAAAGAACAATATCCCAATAGCAAGATATTTTCTGCAGAGGCAAAAATAGGTCCCTTGAAGGGGAAACTAGAAAAAAAAAAAACTTTTTAAAAGGACAGACGGTTCAATGAGAAAATAGGGACGAATATACTTGACGCAAATTTTGAGAGGTTACCAAGTTGGCCGTCCTTTACTGGCTTAGTGGGGAGCGTCGCTTTTTCAGCCTCTTGATGGAAGGGTTTGCAGCTATCAATTGCAGCCTGTTTCTTTAAAAACAATAAAACTACCATAAGCAACAGTTTTCTGAAACATACCATCAGCATCATCTGACTCTTCATCATCCTCTTCATCTTTAGATTTCCTCTTGGAAGAGGATCGACACCTGAGCACATCCTGTGAGGAGAGGCGGTGGAAGTACCCTCTAGAGAATAGTTCACTTTCATCCTCTTCCTCTTCCTCTTCCTCAATCTCAAACGTGGGTTCTAATCTTGGCATCGGCCTCTCAGAGTCAGAGTCTTCAAAAGGTTCATCTAACACCTCCGTGGTCTCAGAAATAGTTTCTGTGACCACACTGCTATTGTGGTGTTTGCGCTTTCGGACTCTCCTCCTTCGGTGAAGAATCGGTTTCTATTTAAAAGAGGAAGGAAGTATTTTATTTACAGTAATGAATGCTATCACTTCTATTAATAACCTAATGAACAGTGTCTGAACCTAAAAGAATTAGCACATATAAAATGGGTACACTGTTTGCCAAGAGACATTTTGAGTATTATTTCAAAATACTACAGTAAGATACTACACATAAAGTTATCACAGAAAGATGTTGGATGATTGAATACAACTTTATAAAAGGCATGCCCAAAGAGCAGATATTATAATTCCTTTATTAATACTTCAGTTACATTTAACACTCTAGGGAAATGCCTATTTCAATACTGAAATGACACAGAAGCTACTCCTTTAACATCTCTTTACCTCAAGAGAAAAAAAAACAAAACACTTTCTGTTTGTCTCATAGCTCATGATAGAGACAACAAAATGATAAAGACGATGCACCAGAAATGATCTAGTCCAATCCCCTCATTCTATAGAGGCGAGAAAGGTTACAGGGCTTGCTTAAGGTCACATACCCAGTCAGCACAGAAACGGTTGTAAAATATAGTCTCTGACTCCCAGTCAAGAAATTCTCTTAAGAACGTCAAGTATTTTGTGCATGATCTCACTGCCTATTACAATATTCTCTTGTTTACACAGGGAAATAGCATAATTTTATCTTACAAATAGGCAATATAAGCCTGGAATGGCAAAGATACATTCTTCATGATCACATAATGAATGGCAGAGTTAGCTAGTGTTGAGTTTTTCTCCACTTCAAATTTAAATTTACTAGTCCTTTCAGTTGAGAGTACAATTTTCAAACCAGGTTCAACATGTCTGGCTCTGCTCTTTGGAAAAATGGCTGACTCTACGATTAGGACATGAAATATACAAGATGAACCTAGACTATCCTGTAGTACTAGAAAGTAAGGAAGTGCTCAAAACAAAACAAAAAACCCTACACTGATGACGGTACATATTACATTAAAGGGACGTGGAGCGAAACTTAAAAACTCCTAATGGCCAAAGCTGGAACAATTTGAGCAACAAACTAAATCAAGTGGTACTGCTGGGTTGTAACTCAAAGTGTAAAGTAAATATCTGAGTCTACGCCGGTATTAATAAATGCTTGAATAAGTAAACAGATGGGCGGGAATGAATAAACCCCCAAGCAGAATTCCAAATAATTAACACAGATATTCTGCTCCTAAGGAACAGAGTATAACTCTCCATATCACTGCCGGCAGTGACTACCTTCCAAAGAGTACAGCATCGGAAAGGGGAAAAAAGGAGTGACTAATTTACAGTGGAGAAATGTGACAAACACAACCTCAAACCAGGCGATCTAGGCTGATATCAAGAGTGAAAAGTCATACCGACAGTAATACTCTTGTGTTTGGTGTGTATGTGTGTGTATACATACATATTTATCAGACACCCTTTATATGATAAGAATGACACTTTACCTCTGTGGTCTTCTTCCCAAAAACATATTACCCCATCCTAATATCATGAGGGACGTTTTAAAATACCTAGCCAGTACTCGTCAAACTGTCAAGGTCATCAAAAACAAGGAGTCTGAGAAACTGTCACAATCAAGAGGGGCCAAAGAGGCATGACTACTAAGTGTAATGTGGTGTGCTGGATGAGGTCCTGGAAGAGAAAAAGGACATACAGGAAAACTAAGGAGATCTAAATAAAGTATGGACTCTAGTTAATAAAATACTAGTTCACTATTTGTGACCAATGTACTATACCAACATAAGAGGTAACAAAAGGGGAAACTGCCTATAAGGAATACAGGAACTCTCTGTACTTTCTCTGCAATAATTGCATAATCTATAACTGTTCTAAAATTAAAAACTTGGGGCGCCTGGGTGGCTCAGTCATTAAGCATCTGCCTTCGGCTCAGGTCATGATCCCAGGGCTCTGGGATTGAGCCCCGCATCGGGCTCCCCGCTCAGTGGGAAGCCTACTTCTCCCTCTCCCACTCCCCTTGCTTGTGTTCCTGCTCTCGCTAGCTCGCTCTCTGTCAAATAAATCTTTTAAAAATTAATTAATTAAATTAAAAACTTATTTTTTTTATATATTGCCCTGATCCCCCTCCCCCCATAAGCTTCTTTTAAGGAAAGGAACAATTTCACTGCTTTGGATGAAAGCTGTCACCCCACCACTACAGGGTGGCTCATCCAGGGGGCCGAGCTCAGTCTGGCTGGCTTGTGGCAATGCTTAAAAGTTCACTGCACAGACTGGGACAGTTCTGGTATACAGTTTGCCAGAATTCATTATCAGCATCACAACACATTTAGAAACTGGCTATCATTCAAACTTTGCAAGATGACGAGACAAAGTTGAGAAAATACTTTTAAAACCAGGTTTAAGTCAAACCACTGAAAGAAAGAAGGGAGAGATGGAGATGGGAGAGCACAGGGAAAAAGGCCCACCCCCCCTCAAGACGAATGGCCTCTCTGAGCACCCCAACAAAGGGCACTGCTGTCCATCAAGCTGTCAGATACTTTTCTCCTTTTCTAACGTAAATATTTCTCATCTATACATACTTTTAAAATACTTGACAAATCCCTAAAAGTCATGATTACAACATCAAACCAGCAAGCTGAAAAAGAGTTTGTCAGCCCTTAAATAAGCTTAAGACATCTATGTTCATTCCCACAAACCACAGAAGCCATATCCACATTTCAGATGTTTACTGGGAAGATCATAAGCTACAGTACACTGAGGCATAAAGTCTAAAAAAATAACATACTAACAATTTCTATATTTACTTTTTCAGAACTCTAGAACAGACAGATGTATATAATAAGCTGTAATTCGGAAAAGAACAGGCAAGTCAAAAGAAACAAGTCAAAAGAAAAGCCTTACTTTTCTCTTCAATGTGGGCTTTGTAAGAACTGGTGGGGAGCTGGACCGAGGACTTTCTGGCTCTTCTTCCTCCTCACTACTCTCACTGAAGCCTCTGAGGAGAGCCCTGTCACCATCACTATAGCGACGGGGCAGTCTATCAGTGCCTTCCGGTAATCTACACTTCAGTGCCTCAGGGCTCTTCTTCAGCTGTCCTCGCCAGAGCTCAACCCCCTCACTTAGTCTTCTTTTGGGAATGTCTGGCTTCCCATCCTGGCTTGGCTGCTCCTGAGAGGCTGCCAACTGCTCCTCACTTTCAGTATATTGTTCTTGGGAGGTTTCTGATTTTTCCTCACATTCTCCATATTGTTCCTGAGGAGCTGATGTCTCTTCCAAGAGCAGTTTAGAATCTTTATCACCAAAACGTTCCTGGGTTTTTCGGTTCTTCCTCCCCCAGCGGCCTCTCCGGGATGGCTGGTTATTTGCAGGAAGACTATCACGGGAAAGGACTTGTTTGTGCAGACGCGTAGAACTGGCTGGTGCCCTAACTTCCGGTTTCTTTTCACTTTCTACTGAGGAGTAAGAATCTTGTTCTTTGTTCTCCCGAGATGCAGACTTTCCCACCTGATTTTGGAAAATAAAACCATGTCGATTAATTTTTCAGTCTTATTTTTATACCTATCTGACCTCTTAAACAGAGATAAGACAACAGAGCTTTAAAAAGAAAAGTATAATTTAACAGCTATCAGGAATATTTCTCATGTGTTAGGCACTGCTTTAAATGCTTAATAAGATTCATTTAATCCTTACAACAATTGTATGAAGTGTTATTACTATATCCTCATTTTAAAAAACGAGGTAACTGAGGCACAAAAAATACAAGTAACTTGCCCTAGGACACGCAAGAGCAAATGTGGAAGCTGGGATCTAAACCCAGGCAGTCTGACCCAAGAGCTAGTGCTCTTAGCCACTATGCAATCCCACCTTCAATAAACAAAGTGAACAGCATTGTTCTTATAAATGTTAAATGATATAATTTACCAAATTTCTCAGCAATAAAATTTATAAACAGAGAGGAGATGGGCTCTGGAGCATGGGCAAGAGAAAGGGGGTGTTTGAAAAAAATGAAAGAAAATGTCTATTTAGATTTTTATTCTGAGTATTTAATTTCATTTTGAAAATTAAATTACATTAAACGGGCGTGAAACTGCTTACGTTTATCAAAGGAGGACACAGATTTTTAAAGGATGAAAGCACAGTTTAAAAAAAAAGAACAGAGAAGGACAGGCATCACAACTATACAATGTTGTACAGTCCCTCATTAACCCTTTAACGGCTTAAAGACATTTGTGTACCCACTGAATTATTTAGTGCTCTATTAGAAAACATACACGTTTACATTATTTCCTTAATGTTTTATTTTAAGGAAAAGGGATCTTCATTTCATTTTTAACAATGGTCAGAAGTAAGTTAAATTCAGATTCCTCAATTACTACTACACAGCTTAAACTTTAGCTGTGTATCAGGACCCTGATAAGGAATTCTTAGTTCTAAGTAACACACTGTAACAAATTTGAAGGTCTCCTAATGATCCAAGGCTTAAAAATATACAAATAAGTAAACAAAACCCAGTCTTCCTAAAATCTCTATCACTGAAATGAACTCTGAAATTCTAATGTGAACTGTGTTGGCTTAAGATATTGTAACACGTATCACAATACTCATTAACCAAAAACAGAGCCTTCTGTCATCAAAAATAGAGACTAGTCATGCCCTTACACTCGTCTCTAATTCTCTTTCCTGGCACTGCAGATCTTCGTTTTCGCCTTCCTCAGCTTCCTCTTCTTCCTCCTCTGAGACAACAGAATTGGAGACTATGACAGGAGTCCAGCGCAAACATTCTGGATCTACATCTACAGGTCGCAAATTCAGCTGAAGCTTTGCCATGTGATCCTGGATAAGTTTTTCCCGGCGGATTATCACAAATCTGGAACCAGAGCAAAGTTTATAGCGATCAACAATGTATGTACAAGGAGTACCTAACAATGAATATGGAGCTATAACCCCCAGAAAACCATGGAGGTGATGACTAATGCTTCAAAAACTGCCAGCTCGGAAGCATGAAATACAGAAATATGCCACCATATAAGATAGCTAAGAAATAAGAAGTTGGACAGCTACTTCACACTCAACGAGAACAATGGATGAAGTGATTTTAACCATTCACACTGTCTCACACTTCCCACCTCTGGAATTGCTGCAAGACTCTCCGGTACCCTATCTCCTATCCTCCATCTTTCTAGCCCAATGCCTCCTTCTCTGTGATCTTTTCCCAACCCCTTTAGATAAGGGTGAGCTGACCTTCCTTTGACCTACATTTTACTTTGTACCACTTTATATGGAAATAAATCATGGGTATATTTTATTAGACATTATTTCTAGAGTTGTTACCTCTTGTATTAAAGGCGCTGCCAACATTAGAAAAGAAAAGCTTCAATAGCTTAGGTCCAAAAGTTAGAAGGAAGACCAGAAAAAACAGTTTAAAAAAAAAAATGTGGTCAATGGTATCAAATTATCACAGAAACGAAAATGGTGTCTCAGGATCACCAATGTACCCCTTGTATTAGTTTATGCCCTTTCACTGATAATCTGGCTGCCTCATCCAAACACTTCCACCTAACTGTCTTTGGAAAGTATACGAAGGGATGTGATACTCACTGGTCACTACGGAAGTCCAGCATTCGTAGGTGGTGGAGTGTGGAAGTAATGTCTTGAGGGCAGATTCCAGTCAACTTGCTTAACTTCTTAATGCTGATTTGCTTGTCATTTTGGTGATAAAGGCACTCCAATATTACACTTTTCCAGTAAGCCATGTAGGAAAGACGACCTAGATCGGATAATGGTTTCTCTGGAGACCCTGCTTGGCCTTCACGCTTTGATAACAAATAACCTAAAGAAACCCCCGAATCACAAATATGTCAGAGAGCCTAAAATAGGCTAATTCACCAAAGTAACAATTCCCTCTTCCACAATCAATTTAAGTAATACAGGCATGAATAATGTCAAAGGTAAATTCTTTCAAGAAAAAGAACAAAACTGAAAAATTACTTCAACACAAATTTGCACAAGATTATGTAGTTTGTATATATTGAACCTTAGGTTAGTATTACTTTGTCTGTACTTACTATAAATCAACTGTTAAAATAAATCAGAGGACTTCATATTAATAGGATGCTTTAATAAGATTAAGGCAATAATGCTTTTTATTTTATGGGGGAAAACCTCCCTTGCATTTTTATTTGGACTACTAGATAGCAACAGTTATATCTGAATTGCTGAACAATACAAAAGAATGCCTTCGTTTTTACATAATCCTATCTGTTAAGATCGTGGTTCTTCTGTGAGTGAATCAGATGACAATTTCTCACTTCAGCCAAAGCTCTCCTCACAATGACCTCTTACCCTTAAACTCTTAGTGAGCAAGGATGTCAGTGTGAGGGTGTCCCTGTGAGTGTATGGTGGTATCTGTCCTCCTGTCTAGAGCAGGACTCTCAAGAACAGAAAGAGAAAGGCATAAATTCTGAGAGCATCAACAACAGAGATGGCAGAAGAAATGCAGTTTTTTGTCATCAAAGGAAACTACTAAAAAGCAGTCTGTGAATGATAATGTGGGAAAATAGATTACATTAGGAAAAGCAAATAAAAACAAATACTGTAATCATAGATTGCTGTTTGCGTATCTCAAAGTATAACTAATTAGTATAATAAAATATTTTCCCCTAACTTTGCTACTTAATGGCATAACACATCCAAACATGAGTCCTATTTCAAAACAATATATTGATATTAAAGGAAATAATCTGAGTTGCACTCTCTACTACCAATCTAAGAAGGCCAAGAAAACGTACGAAATAATCCACTGAATCCAATGAAATATGGTCAGGAGTACAGTCTAAGGCCAACTGAAATAAGCTGAACTGGTCCATCTGAGAATTAACTTCTTAACACTGGTGACATAATCATCTGATATTTAGAAGAACTGCCTGTATCAAAATAGTCCCTCAAAAATATCACTTTGTTATAATCAATACAGAATTTATTGTAAACATATATTTACTTTCTAAGCAAGACTATCAACACGTAAAACAAAATTCAAATTCTACTACTTTTTAGAGCTGTTTGGCTTTCAATGTTTAAATCAGATTAATTTCCTATGCCATATATTTTAAGATTTTTTTAAGGTGCACTGCATATTTTAACCACTAGGTAGAGCCCGTAACTAAAAAATGATGTACGCATTTTCTGATAATTAGGTAACAAAAATAAGGTGAGTACTGTACTTCTTTACTGTACTAACTTGCACAATGTATTGAGTATTGCTGTGAGTTAGAATTATCATGAAACTAAGTTCCACCTGTAAATTAAGAGTTGAAAATTCAAAGTATTTGCAACAGATCATACAAAGATGGTGTTCGGTATAAGCTATTTAAAAATATTTCATGTCTGATCAAAAGAAAAAAATTCACGACTTTAGGTTTTAAAGTCCCATACTGTGACGAAAGATACTAGCAACCAATAAATCATCTGCAAATCTCTAAAAAATATATATATCAGAAGGCCCACAAGAAGAGATAATGAAAAATTATTATAATCCTTACTGAAATCGATGAGAAACCTGCCATAGCCCTTACGCTGGTATTGGGGAAGAATCATTATACACGAAACGTTGTACTTCTGCTGGCAGTGCTTTTCCTGGTAAAGAAAGTTTTAAAACAACATGCGAGTAAGACTGAATAGTAATGCTAATTATTAAGAAACAAAGACTTAACAGTCAAAACCATAGCCCTGGTCCTTTGAGAATAGCATGCACATCAAGAAAGAAAATACCCCACTGGGAGGAGACAGGACAATGTTAACTCATTGCCATTACCCACAAAGCAACCACACCAGGAGAATATAAATGTAAAATAAAATTATGCCATCTACTACCATCTGCAACTCAAAGATAGTATGCCACTGCCTAAGATGAGCAGAGGAATCTGAGTCCCAATCAATCTGCAAAGCTATAAATGATGAGTTAGTGTGGCACTCCAGAAATGGGAAAATTCATCTACCACTTCAAAGACTCTCTTATTTCCTGGTCTGGTGCTACACAGGGCAGTCCCATCTCCCCATCAGTTGTATCTAACTTCACAAAAAAACAATCTCAAAATGTTGGGGATAGACACTTTTAAAAAATCAGGCAATATATATAAAATTATACTTAACTTCTGAAATAGACAACTGACAGAAAGCTGGTACTCCCACTTAACTACTTCATACGCTTAGATTTTATCATAGGATAGCTTAAATAAAAGTACATCTTTTATGTTGTTTGACTACAAAAACACCTTTTGTTCTCCCCAAGAGAATGGAAGATTATAGGAAGAAGAGAAAATATCCGTGAATAAAAATGGCTTCTTATTCTTATTTCTATTCTTCAAATTTAAACTAGGACAAGATTTAAAATGAGAAAGAGCTCACAGAGGTATTGACTGTGTTTATTTCACAAGTTCTAGCTATTATTACCATGGGACTAAAAGGCATTTAAAAACTTTTCCTCTTGAGTATAAACGGCAGCTCATGTTCCTAGGAGAGTACAGTCTGTTGAATGTTACTAAGCACCTTTGAGCACTTGGTACATTTCTGAATGTTCCTTCATTTTCCTTTCCAAAAAGCTAGATGGTACCCAGAAGGTGCTGCATTGTGTAGTGTCTCCCAGTGAGAACTGACAAAAATTGTTTCAGATTTCCATGTGAATTCAAACAAATTTTAAGCTGATATACTTACTTTAGAAAAGTAGCCAACAAGGTGGCAGCCCTTGACATCATTCTGTGTTAGTACATAAAAAAGAAATGGCTCCACGTCATAATAGAGTGTTTTATGGTCAAGAAACAACTTTGCCAAGAGACACAGGTTCTGACAATAAATGGTACTCACATTCCCATCAACCTAGAGGAAAATAATAGAACAAAATGATGAGGAAAGTGGCTCTTTAGTTCTAGAATAATAATACACATCACTTACAAATACCCGTGAGTATCCACAGTCCAGCCTAAGAGAAGCTGTCAGTGATCAGAACCTGGAAGCTATCCTTCCAACAGCAGAATTAGGGTACCTGCTGTTTTAAGACAACTAAATATATAAAATACTCTACTTCAACAAAGTATGACAAGGAAATGATGACCCTTTTAAAAATTGCATTTTCTGCTTTTATAACAAGACTGGCTGCAGTAATACCTCAGATGGCAAGCTGATCTGATTCATTTTTTAAAGTAATTCAACAAAAGATCTAAAAGCAACCTCTTCTAAAATACATTTGTTAAGTAAAACAAGGTCTAACTAAAGTCTCTATGCCAGCAGCCAGAAGCAATGCAGTCTGACTGCCACAATCAGATTTACCCCCAGACAAAGCTATTTTCAGGAGTATGAACTATTGCCAGAGGCACCAAGCAGGTTCCCTAGGTGGGAACTTGGCAAATGAGATATTTCTTGGAACCGGGTTGGCCAAGACCAGGAGCACTACAGTGTATTTCTCCTGACACACCTGTGTTGTTGGAGTTGCCAGAGCTTGCTCTTTTATGCAAATGCCAATGGATGCCCACATTAAACCCTACAACATTGCTATTTAAGGACAGAAACCTCCTCAACAATTTCAGTAATTTAGTATTACTTCTTTTAAAATACACACCAATATATGCTTAAGGTGAGAAGCAGTCTGTCTGCTCTTGGGTATTCTGAAACAGTATTGTGAACCACACCCTTCCTCCTCCCCCCAAAGTGAAGAGCTCTGCTAGTGCTCCCCTAAAATGAAGGTGTAGGGAAAATCAAGAAAGTTAGAGACTGAGCAGATCCCAACAATCTGAAATTCTATCATCACAGTCATTAACAGAACTGAATACATGGCAGGTACTCAAATTAATACCTGGCGATGACACCACAAAACTGAGGCTCAAGAAGCTAGGAACCCATGACTGACAACAGAATCACAGACATAGCCTAAGTTATATCATCATGATGAAGTGAAAAAAAAAAATACTTTTGTATCTTTACAAAGTAAGATTTACTACAGCTATTAAATATACCTCTACAAAATATTCCTTTAAGTAGAGCAAGAGAACATTTTTCATTTAGATACCACTTCATAGATTCTAAGATGCAATTTTATCACATCTAAACATAAACAATCAGTTGGCATTTTATAATCAGATGGAATCCTGAGTTATAGAATAATTTATTCTGATATCAAGCTGGTGTGACCCTGGTACCATTTGGGTTGGCCTAATTCTGCTTCTCATAACAGCTGAATCATCGGACTCAATCGTTGAGTACAACAGTAAAATAACATTTCAAAAAAATCCAAGTACAATTAGACACAGTACAGGCGGCACTACGTTCGAAATGATAGGAAGACAACTATAAAAATATCTACTTTACCTCAAAGACAGAAATATTATTTTTTCTGTAAATCTCATTGGCAGGAGGATGGAACCAACCACATTTCTTCATGTGCTGCTGGAGAATAGTTCTACTTTTCATATATTTTAGACAGAATTCACAAAGATACAATTTAGGCAGCCTGTAAATAATAATTAAACAAAAAAAGACAGGGCTTTATAAGACTGTAAACTTTCACAACTATCCTTTTTTGACTCTCATTACTACTCAAGTAAAAAGGTGGAGAATGTATTGTCATCCCCATTAATCATATGAAAGAGAGAAAACAAACTAAAGATAAAACTAATTTGGTTAACAGCATCCAACTAATTAACAAGGAGGGCAAGGGTGAGAAGTAAAGAGATCCAATTCAGTGATCTTCCTATTAGACTAACACTTCCCAGGCTTTTTTAAAATTTACCCACTTGGCAGACAGCGAAAATCTCATATTCTCCCCTCCTTGATAATCTCTACTAAGTAGAAAATAAAACCTACCTTCAGAACACCCCAATAAGTGAAGAAGATTTTTGTCAAGGTATATACTGTCTTCCTTTATTTGATCATTTATCCATTTTTTCAGAACAACATGGGTTTGGACATCCACTCATATGTGGATTTTTCTTGATAAATACAGTACAGTAATATAAATGTATCTTCTTTATGATTTTCTTACTTTATCTTCTCTCTAGCTTACTTTATTGTAAGAATATAATATATAGTACATGTAACACAAAATATGTTGACTGTTATGCTATTGGTAACGCTTTTGGTCAATAGTAGACCATAAGTTAAGTTTTGGGGGAGTCCAAAGTTATACATGGATTTCTGACTGTGTGGGGAGTTGGTGCCCCTAACTGCAGTGCAGTTCAAGGGTCAACGGTACTACTGAGTGTCAGACCTTGGGTTAGGTGCACTAGGTATAGAGTGCTGAATAAAATGGATATAAAGTGGGTATTATAAAAGCAGACTTTATATATCTTTTTAAGTATAAAACTATAATAATACATCTTTTCAAGTTAGGACATACAATATACTACCTCCTTCCTTCGACCCCTGAAATTCTGGCTTTCCCTCTGGTTAAATATCCCATTAAATTCTGCAACTTAGAAGTCTACTATTCAACAAGTGAAATAAAAGTTCAAATTATTCTTTCAGATGTTCTGTTATTAATTTATATTTATACAATAGTCAAGCTATTTTAGCAGTAATTTAATAGGACTTCTTTACAATGTCCCGTTTATGAGAAGCTAGGCAATAGTGACTGGATCAGTTCATAAAGTAACAGAAATAATATAACCTAAATTAAAAGTCAGTGGCTTTTATACCTATTTTAGTGTAATCCAGAAGACCATGTGGCTCTTCTATTATAAAATACACACCTCATTTATCCTCAGCACAGACTTCCCTGCACCCTGAACTGTGTCCAGAACTGGTCATGCCTTGGTAATCTAAGATCTGATACTATCATTAAAAGCTACATATACAAAAATACTAGATATGATGACAAAAACTATAATCCAAATTACCGCATTTTCTCTCAAATACAGAAGTATTGAAGCTGAAGGAAATTTTAATAAACCTCATTAGTTTAGTTGCTATCAGTGTGGATAGCTTTAAGATTACACTGGAATTAAAGAAAAAAGTAGATTAACACACAAAAACGTCTAATTTGTTAAAGTGTGAAGACTATACTATTTTTTCAAGTACTACTTTGGAAGCCACTTTTAAAACATAATTATATTTTATCTGAAAACATTTAACACTCAACTGAGGCCTTTGCCAAGGTGTATTCATGGAGCTCTAGTCCTGTATGCAATAAGTGTTTCATGCTCAAGTAAGGGTGGAAAAAGGCATGTTTGTGACTTTTTTCCTTCTCCCTTGGAGATTTACAATGCGTATTCATTCTTCCTACACAACCTCACAGCTTACTTTTAAAACTGTCATTCACAGCACACTAAAAGCTTCCAGGGAACTATTCAGGTATAATATTTCTAAGTGTCTATAATATCTAATCCTGGTTTCCAAAATCTCTCATATTAGACAAACCAATACAACCTGAAATTATGGCATTAGTACAGAAGTCATTTCAAAACAAAGTACTGAGTAAAACAAATAATAACTGGCATTACAAATCGAACTCAAGAAACAGGAGCCAAGAGCACTGCAAAGAAAGGTTTCCTAGGTGACTCTTACTTCCTTTGCATGCTGCCTCAAAATTCTACTACTCAGAGAAGGAATGGCAGTAAGATAGATAGTTTTTACCACCAAAATTAAAAAATCTCAAAACGAAGTGGCCCCAATTATAAACTTCATCATCTAATGTGGGCACTAGATATACTAACAGAGTCTCAGAGCTGACCCACAACTGCCAGACTATTTTTCTGAATATGTGGATTTTGAATAATTTCTTCTGAAAAGAAAGGTAGAACCCTGGGTAATTAATGGCATCCTCCTTCTTCCAACTACCCTTACCTTTATTTACTGGTGCTAAATTCTCAATGAGCAATTTTACCTTGTTGCAACATAAAGATATAGAAGAATCTGTGAATACAGTTTTGTTTTGAGAGCTAAATATCACAACTAAATATTCCCTACAATGTGAATCTGAGCAACATAAACAAAAACCTGGGAAAAAAGGAAGGAAGAGTGACAGACCACTAAACTTCCCAGATTATGCTAAAGATAAATGCCAACATTAAAAGCATCCAATTCAACTTTTAGGTCTTGGTATAGAGACATGAAAATAAAGTACAACTTATTTTGTAAGGTCTATGAAAGGTCTAATTTTTAAAGCTCTCGCAGTAAGAAAGTTGTTCAAGGAAACCTAAGAAGGAATGAAATCTATAAAAAAATTACTGCCAAGTCTTATCTGGTAAATTATAAGCTCATGCTATTTCCTTGAAAAGCAAGATGTGTGATAGTTTCTTGATTACAAAAAAAACTTCAGCAAATCTTAGTATCTGAAAAATAACAAAGTAAAAGCAAGCATCATAATCTACTTGATTCCAATTCAGTTCTTGCTGAAAACATTTTAAAGCCTCTTACTTTATTATAACCAAGCCCACTGGGATGACACTGTTAGTCTAAAGGGAATCATCTGATAAATGATTTATGTTTTAGTACAGTTCATATGGCTGAAGTTCTTTCACTGAAAAAACACATCCTATAGAAAGAATATCAGATCATATGCAGTGAAGTATAGTTATAGAGAATATGAATATTCTTCGCCCTAAAGAATCCTGCTGGGTGCTGCTGCTTTTTGTCATTGCCTTCCTGACAGAGCAACGAGGCCTTGACTAACAAATAGATGTATGGTCGCTTTGATCAACTGCATCATGGGGTGTAGCTTCCAAACCTGAAATTGATTCTAGAGTCAGCCACTCTGCTGATACCCTAGCATGTGAAGCATGCCTAGCATGTGAAGGCAGGACTGGGCCACAACTGTATGCACTTTAGAAGCACTGCTTCCCTTACTTCTAGGATGATGCAAATATTCTTCCCAGGAACTCCTATGGTATCTTCTTGGCTTCTGAACATTGCCCAAGATAGTAGCAATTTGTGTAGTCTTTATAATAGGTCTACTTGTAGTAAAATTTTAATACAACAAAAACTCTATCAAATATTACTTAAATCAAAGATCATGGTAAAAGCCATGTGAGATCAATGTAGATAAAGATGCTATATGGAGTAGTGCAAGCTTGATGGTAAAAGGTTATGCCTATGTGGTTAAGAGAAAAGTGAGACTAAATCCTGGTCCTGCCACTTATAAATATGGTCTTGAATATGTTTGCAGGGCCCTGGTCTGGAAAATGAAGATAGATATATCTACCTCTCACAGAATTACTCCAGAGATGTTTAGTCCAGTACCAAGCTCAATGATGGTTACTAAAGCTACTATTAATTTATGATTAATACTATGAATAGTTTTATTCTTTCATTCATTTTATTTCATAAATGAAATAATGCTCAGCTTTAGTAACTGGGGCTGTAAGTAATCTATGCATCAAATCAAGTCAGGAACAGGATCAAAAGGGAGAGGAAACTTCCCAAGCTACTTAATTACAATCCTTTAGGACTTCAATATGATCTCCTTGCAAAAAGGTTATTATGAAATAAGTTCTAAACAGCTCAGGAGTAGGATACCCCATGATCACAGTTACTCTTGCCTTCAGCCCATCTATGTCATGTTTTAGGGGATTCTCTATGAAACCTGTTTGCCATATATGAGCATCACATGGCCCTGTTGGAGAAACTTAGGTTAAAACTCTGGTTTATACTATTCAATGTCTTAACTTAACCATAGTGCTCCACACGAAGCATTACTGGCTTCAATGTCGTTGTTTCATTTTGTTTTGTTTTTTAGGTCAGAGATGCAAGATTACTTAATATACAATGCACACACAAATATCTGGATATTATGGGAAATAATGCACAATCCCACTTCCCAAAAGATTTTCCTTTTGGGATCTTTTTTATTTGCTCCAACTGTTCTGTTCTTGCATGCTTTGGGATTTTGAATTTTTTAAAAAGTGTTCAAAACCTTGAATATCAAGAAAATAACTTAGAAGTAATTTAGCACAGAATAATAAATAGTCATTAACAAAGTAAGGACATAGGTTTTTTTATTTGGAAAATGTAAGGTCTCTAAGCATTTTAGCCAACTCAAGTTTAATAGAACAAGCCTAATAAACTTAATTTAAAATTAGACATATGTATTTTTAAAATGTAACTAGGAGAATTATGAATAAAGAAAAAGTCATAATTACTTAAGAATCTATTAAACTATAGAATATTTTTTGATGGAAAACTCAGGGAACACTCCACAATGGATAAAGAAATGTACTAAATGTCTAAATGTCTACAATTTATTTAAGAAAACGTCTAAAATTTTATTCAAGAAAGTTAATAAATTTTACAGTTCCTATCCCACTGCTGCTTTCTAATGATTCTTATTTATTGGTTATTTATTTTTCTGTAGGCAATGTTTATTAAGAATAAACTGATAACCAATTCCCTCAAACCTGATAAAGAGATCAGGTTCTAGTGACAATCTTATCAGAATAAAAAACATTTTTAATGAAGCCTTTTCATCTCTTAAAAGACAACAGCCTCATGGTTCCATTCTCATTCTCTTGAAAAGCAAGTGCTGAGGCTGGCTCTCTAGTACCATCTCTGAGTAAATTTCCTCTCTTCCCCTTGAGCACAAGAGTCAAGGTGCCTAAGGTTTCAATCTCTCTGTACCACAATCCCTGCACCAGCTGATACGCATGCACACTGAACAAACTTTGTTGTCTAAGTCGAGCATGCTTTTTTGATTTGGACAGCTTGCAAAGAGTTCACTAAATAAATGATAATAATTATTTCTTTAAACCTAACGAAGAAATTAATTCCTCAGCATATTTCTTCTTGATCCTATAATTCTCTGAATATCCAGAATTCTTGAGGAATTGCCTTGAGTACCTGAGTTCTGTAGTTGAGGAATTTCCTGCCCTCTTTTTTAACATATATAAATACATAATCACATATCATGTAATCTTCTTTTAACAAACTCATGTTAATTTTTGTTTTCCCACGATATAAACAGAGTGCTGCCTTACAGCCCTAACACAGTGTTTAGGGCTAACTAACCCTACAATAATTGGCTCTCAATTGCTGTTTCATGAGCTCGTGTGTTAGCTTCCTGAAATTTTGCTTTCTCTTCTTTTTTTTTCCCCCAGTCACTGAGGTTTGTGTCCATAACATTCTCACTACTGTTTTTTCTACTTCTGCTCACATCTGGAAACCAGTTATCAAATTATGTGGAAAGAAAAAGTAAAAACAACACTGAGTTTTAGTTTGTTTTTGTTTTTTTTTAACAAATATACTAGCTTATTCCCAGCTTCTGGAAATAAACCATGTTAAAGCACTCTGTATACTGTAAAGCACTAAATAAATGTTGTAATTACCTGTGCTAATATTTTGGACCAGCAATGTCACTAGATAGGTAAAAAGCCACATAATGAGAGTACTCTGAACATGTATTTAACTCACAGAGCACTTATTATTCCTTACAACACTCTGCTAAATGGGAAACCTGAGGCATAAGTAGTTTACAAATTAAAGAGAACATTAATGTGACTGCTATACTTTAAAGTTTAATTTTTTGACCAAAACTTATTTTTCAAGTCTTTTAAAAATTCCAACCCTAAAGGAAAAAAATACTATCTGACATTATTGAGCACTTATCTCTTAAGTGATTTACATGTTTTAAATCAATTTAATGTTCACAATAACCCCTATGAGGTGAATACTATTTTTACCCCCATTTTGCAGATGATGATACTGAGGTACAGGCTAGTTGGGTAACTTCTAAGGTTATACAGCTTACAAATGTCAGAATTGAGTCCTGAAACCAATCTGGCTTTACTAAAAATGCTGCCTCATCCCAAAAAGCTGGTGACTGATTACTTTTTATGTCTTGAAAGCCAAGTTATTTACATGTAAGATTATCGCATACCATTTGTCCAATTATTCCTGGGAAAACAAACCATTCACTAAGTTTGTTAAATTATAAAAATTTAGGTAAAAGGCTACTCAGTGGAACTTTATTTATACTTCAGTAGTGTGAAGTATGAAGGCAAATTTCTCTTAAAGAAAAAATGTTTCCCTGTTGTTCTGACCATGTGTCAGGTTTCCAATTTTAAGTAACAGCTTTTGGACAGGTTACAGAAAAGAAAATCTAAAGCCAACTGGGATTAAGTGGCTGCCAAAATATGCTGCTACTATGGACATTTAAAAGCCACCAGTTTCCTCAAATGTATAAAGATGAGCGGACTAAAATGTCCCCAAGATCTAGTGTTGGGAGTTCTATGAATCTAAAATTAGAAGGTAAAGGGTTTCTCAAAACATACCTTGAGTATTCTTGAGGATATGGGGAGGAGTACCAGGTGTGAATTTCATACTTCCCAAACTCAATGACAGAGGGACAGCGGACTTGTGGATCAGGGGGACCAGTCACTCCAACTTTCTGTGCAGTCAAAAAATACATCACAAAAGTTAGCTAAATTAAATCTACTGGGATAGATATTTTAAAAAGCTGAAATTAAATGTTGTCCTCTCAGGATTCCAAAGAACAAAAAAAAGCCAGGAACAAACTAACAAGTTTTGAAATAAGCTGTATTATTTTTTGTAAACAGGGTACTCAAATGGAGAACAAAAATGCTAATAAATCTTTTAGAACCAAATGCAACTGGTGTCATTCCATTTTCCATATTTAATAAGATTGCGAATATTTTCCGCAATTAAACTCACTCCCTTAATGACTTAGTTGTTAAAGAGAAGCTGCTGGCGTTTGGGGATAGAAGACAAAGAATAATTTTTAACGAGGGAGAAGGAGCTCTGAACACTTGCCAATGTCATACAGACAGTGCCTTACCAGACAACAGAAACGACCCACTGAACGTGTGAGCACAAAGAAAAGAGTGACTATTTGGTTTGGGAAGGTAGGTAATATTAAAAGAATATGACAAAACAAGTACCAAAAGAGTCTTTAATTCATTTTACACTGCCCCTAAAATTCCCTTCATTAGTAGCTTTTCACAGATTTAACAACAAAAATACTTTTATACACATACTGTTATCCCTTTTATCTACCTTCTGTTCATAATGAAAACAATCTCTATGCCCCTATCTCTGCAATAACCTGAACCACATTATCTAAAAGAATAATAATTTGTAAAGCCTTTATGACTTCCACACCAGCAATTTAAATATAAGCCACTGCTGATGACTACAAAGATCAGGTTTTAAAACCTTAAATTCAAGAGCAATCTGATTTGTTCTATAACCAATAGAGGAATAGATTCATACATATATACATGTATATGGGTGAGTATATTATGCATATTATATATTGTATATTTATCATAGATACCCCATAAACATTCATTTAAGATTAAGCATTGGGGTGCCTGGGTGGCTCAGTTGGTTAAGTGTCCACTCTTGGTTTCGGCTCAGGTCATGATCTCGGGTTGTAGAATTGAGCCCCACCTAGGGCTCCGCGTTCAGTTCACAGTCTGCTTGTCCCACTCCCTCCCCCTCTGCATCCTCCCCCACTCTCTCTGTCTCTCTCTAAAATAAGTAAATAAATAAAATCCTAAAAAAAAAAAAGACAACAGTAACACTGACTTAAGAAAAAGTTAGAATTTAGCCCAAACACAGTATTAAAAACCCTTCATCAAAAGAATAACAAACATTATCCTTCAACTTTATGCTTTAAAACCAGAGAAATTTATTAGAAGTCTCTTGTTGGAGCCCACAGACAGACACACCTCCACACACCCCTACACACTTTCTAACAAAACAGAAAAGATCAGATACTTTTATTCACTGTTTTATGTAAACTCATTTAAGGAAGAGGCTCTTCACTACAACTAATAGGAGAACTCTCCCTGGCCTTTCTAACCATTTTCTTTTACAAAAAGGCCAAGGGATTTATCTCAGGTTTCATACTGGAATACAGCCAGGTGAAACCTCAACCTCTTCCTTAGATATCTCAAAACAAAAGACAAACATCTATTAGTTGGATCAATTGTGTTATGACACCAAGGAGTACTGCGGCTCTTCCAAATGCAAAAATCATTAAAAACAAACACACAGGAGGGGAAGAATGAAGGGGGGGAAATCAGAGGGGAAGACCAACCATGAGAGACTATGGACTCTGAGAAACAAACTGAGGGTTCTAGAGGGGAGGGGGGTGGGGGGATGGGTAGGCCCGGTGATGGGTATTAAAGAGGGCACGTTCTGCATGGAGCACTGGGTGTTATACGCAAACAATGAATCATGGATCACTACATTAAAAACGAATGATGTAATGTATGGTGATTAACATAACATAATAATAAAAAAAATCCACACACACAAGACAGGATTAAAATAAGATTTTTTCATTTCTCAAAACCAAAATAAAACTTGTAAAAAGGCTTTTAAAAACACTGTTCTTTAAACTACATTCCAGAATCAGGTATTCTAATTCATAAAGTAGCATCTTTTTACCTATCTTCACAGCTCAAAAAAAAAGAACAGTATAGAAAGTATCAGAATAACAAATATCAGAAAACAACTTCCTGAGCCAAGGATCAAATACAAAGCACAGAGGTTGAAAAGATGCACCTGCTGAGGCACTGCCTGTCCTTTGAGAGCTTTCCCATCAGCTGCCCGTGGCTCTTCCAGGAGGATGCCCGATGTAAAAGTGGATAGCCAGTTCCAGTATAACTGTTTGCACATCACCGCCACTCAAGAGAGTCTGTGTAAAACTAGATTCACGGCAGACCTCCCCACCGCCTTTACCTATCCTCACCTTTCTGCACTGTGAAATGGCTGGCACATGCGCTCATCCACCTCTGTCCTCCACCACCATCTCCAACTCCCTTATGAAAGCCTCAAGAGCCTGTGTACTTCCGTTTACTACGGTTTACAAGTTAAAAAAGGCTCTCTGCAGTGAGGAAGCAACAGCTGCATCCAAACCACTCATTAACTCAGTCCTCGCCAAAACCAAACTGTCAAATCTGAAATGAAAGGCACCAGGGTGGCTCAGTCAGTTAAGCATCTGCTCAGGTGGCGATCTCAAGGTCCTGGGATACAGCCGCCCCCTCCCCCACTGGCAAGCTCCTTGCTCCACAGGGAGTCTGCTTCTCCCTCTCCCTCTGCAGTCCCCTCAGCCCCCTGCTTGTGCACTCAACAAGTGCGCTCTCGCTCGCTCTCTGTCTCAAATAAATAAATGAAATTTTCTTCAAAAATCTGAATGACAAGGTTAGTTTTGCTAGGTTTTATTTTTAAATTTCAGCCAAAATACTCTCTCATTAAACACGCAGCTTTCTAAAGCAGCAGCTATCTAGTATAATCAAGAACAGAGGGCCACCTGGGTGGCTCAGTTGTTAAGCGGCTGCCTTCAGCTTAGGTCATGATCCCAGGGTCCCCCATGTTGGGCTCCCAGCTCAGCGGGAAGCCTGCTTCTCCCTCTCCCTCTGCCCCTCTCCTTCCCCCGCCCCCTGCTTGTTTTCTCTCTCTCAAATAAATAAAATCTTGGAAAAAATGCACCAAAAAATTTTTTTAATTAGAATTCTGCCACTTTGTGCCTCCTTTTCATTTGAATATGCCAACATCTTGAAATGATGACATATATTCCAAATCAGAATGGACCTTTCATTCTAAGAAAGTAAGGGTGGGGGGCACTAAACCAAAAGGTAACTTTAAATATGCCTATTCTAGATAATAACACTTTTATTACTAGTTTATGAGAAAAGATTATTACTCTTCTGCAAATACTCCTCCTCCACCAAATGACTCGAATTCTAATTTCCAATATACAGAAGCAACTCTTGCAGTACCTCCAAGTCCAGATCTGGTACAAACATGAAAATTACAGTTGATCTACAACTGATATACAGTTCCGCTCCCTTCCTCTTGCCTTCCATCAGATAGCTCCCCCTCAACTTTCCCTTTCCATTCCCCACAGAAGAATGGCATTTTGAAGTGGGAGTGGAGGGCAGGAGTGTACCCTTATTATTAGTATGAGAGTGAAGTGTAGGGAAAGAGAGGTCTTTCTGGTATTTGAATATTTTCCTATAGAAACACTCTAATAAAAAAGGATTTGGGGCAACACGCCATAATCAGATACACTAATATTTCTTTAGCAGAGCATATGAATATTCATATTAAATGCGATAAGTAAAGAATATGTACAGTCTCATGTGAATTCATACCATGTTTTGCCAACAGTTCTGTTTAGTGAGATCTTACTGTAAAATGAGTTATATATATATTTTTTTCATTCTCCACAGAAGATATACAGATGGCCAATAAGCACATGAAAAAAAATCACTAATCATTAGGGAAATGCAAATGCAGACCACAATGAGCTATATCACTTCACACCTATCAGGATGGATACTATCAAAAAAAAACCAGAATAACAAGCATTGGAGAGGATGTGCAAAAACTGGAATCCTTGAGCAGTGCTGGTGAAAATATAAAACGGTGCAGGCACTGTGGAAAACAGTTTGGCAGTTCCTCAAAAAAACAGAATTTTCATATGAACCAGTAATATATAAAAGAATTGAAAGCAGAGACTCAAAACAGGTATTTGCCCACCCATTTTCATAGCAGCATTATTCACAATAGCCAGAAGGTAAAAGCAACTTAAGTGTCCATCCGATGAATGGATAAAACATTCATGGTATAGATACCAAGTGATAAATATACACATAAATTCCGGTAAGGGAATTCTGAATGAACATGGATGAACCTTAAAGAAGTTATGCTAAGTAAAGTAAGCCAGACACAAAAGGGCAAATATTTTATGATTCCACTGAGGCCTACCTATAGGAGTTAAATTCAAAGACAAAAGGTAGAATAGTGATTGCCATGGGCTAGGGGAAGAAAAAAAGGGAAATTACGGTATAATGGGTACAGAGTTTCAGTCTGGGAAGACAAATAAATTCTGGAGATGGATGGTGGTGATGGCTGCACAACAGTGTATACACATACTTCATGCCACCAGACTGTATTCTTAAAAAGTTAAGATGGTAAACTTTATGTTATTTCTATTTTAACCACAGTAATTTTTTGTTAAGTTTTCAGTAATCTGGATCTCAGAATTGTCGATGTGATTACAGACTACTTCCTGTCTCTTTCTTCCCCAATGCCTTTTTTGTTTCTCTACCCTCAGATATTTCCCTTGTTTTACCATTATATACTGATAAAGTCTAGGATTTTATCTTCAGCCCTATTATCCTTTCTCTCCCTAAGACCTCTCTAATCAGTGACCCTACCAGTTTTTCACTCTGCGTATGCCCTCTTTTCTCCTCATCCAGCTTAGATTCCAAGGTCTTTTACTGAACCTCATCTTTGCGTATATCCTTATCTTTCCTGCTTTTCTCCCGATGCAACAACAAAATCCCAACTCTGGTTAAATTCACATTTCCACATAATCCAACATCTGAATATGGTTAGAGAAAAACACAGAAT